ACTCCAAGTCCCGGGGCTTAGGTTACCGGTTTCCATAAGGGAGCAGCAGGTCTTTGTGACTATGAGGTCCACCCCGTCTGCTGTTCACTACACAAATGTGTGTAATAAAAAAAAACGGCGTTATTTTTACCCCGATGGCCTATCTCTATCTTATTTTTGTAATGATGTTGTTTCTGTTTCCGCACAGAAAAACTAGCCAAACTGCTGCAGCATACACTCAACCATTCACAGACAGTCAGATGTGGTGAAATGCTTCACGTATAACTCATCGCGTTGTACTTAAATAAAAGTCCATTGTAGAACCCCGATTTGTGAAACGATCACAGAAGCCTTTAAATATAGAGAAGACAAAGACCCAATATGTAGTCTTTATTCAACACACAGCTGGACAACAGGAGCTGAGAGACTTGTAGCTGGTGGAAATTTTCTCTTACAGGAATCTGAATAGTTTCACGTTCACCTATTTATTTAAGTGAACTTTTAACATTTAATTTAGACCAAGTTTGATTGTTCGAATATTTCCAACTACCTTCGTTAGCCTGTGGCATATTTTACTGCTCTGTCGATCGGAATCCCGTCTTGCCTGCTTCGGTCACACGAAGCCCCAGGATTTTCGTCATCTCAAGTTAGGTCACCGAAAGCCATTCCCAATGAACATTTCTGTTCAGTTCTATGCACGCTTTCGAACTGGGTCACATTTTCCCTTGTATAAGAGGTTCTTGTATCTCTTCCCCTCTCTCTGTTTCTTCAGACTCCTCATTTATCCTTGAATGAGTTGCAACCCTCGAAACTGTTCGCATTGCATAGAGTGTGTGTGAAAAATCGATTTCGTGCTGCTGTTGACCTGAGCCAAGAAACGATACAGGCAGGTACGAAGGAATGGGAAGAATCAAGTAATTTATCATGATTGCACGTATCTCGTTTATCTACCACGAATAGAGATAGTCGTTTCCGAGAGTGCGAACAGGTGCGTTATCTATCCAGGAGAAGAAATTTTTCGTGACGCTGTGCATCAACGATGCGGTGTACGTACTGTTGATTGGAGCCCTCGAGGAGTGGACAAATTCGGGAGGTATACGAATAATATTTTATTGTACCGTTAGTGTTTGTATTTTTTGAAACTGTTCCTTTTTATTTATTGAATGTACGAGTGTACCATCAATTTTTAGGAACGCGGCCATACAAAGAGGGCGGGGTTTGAACTCAGGTCCTGTAGATCGCTGTTTGGATAATCTGAACCACTCGACCACCAATGCCGCCTCGTTGTTGATTTATAAATTTCTTGCACTATGCAGTTGATACTAACTGAAAACCAAACGAGAGAATGAACAAAAAATTTTTCACTTAGGGATTTGCAAAGTTTTGCTTACGGCACCACTTCCTCATCGATCAGCGTTTGTCTATTTATAAAAAGTAGATCTCCTGAATTTTACACGATTGCCTCAAAAAGCTGGAACGTGACTTTTGTTATCCTGTTATCCTAACCTTTACTTGCACTGCTTGTTCGTTTTACAGAAGTGTCATGACTGTTGTGACCCTCGAGGGGAGGGCATCTATTTTCTCTCCGAAAGGTGCTACCCACTGGGAAGAGGTATGTACAGCTTTTGTTGTTTATAGCTAACTATTACCACAGAGGCTTTCTGCGATTCGCCGTCCCAAGTAATGGGCTGTCGGTTTTTATAACCCAACATTTATCAGTCAAAGGGTTGACCTTTCTAATATAGAGATGAAAAACGGCTTTATTCATACTATACTTGTATGATGTCGGTGTCACATATGCTTCGTCTTGTGCAACTAGTCCGAATATACAGCCATGAAGAACTTGGGAAATGAGGCGATTTTAATCCATTCAGTTAAAAACTGATAGATGGGAGATTATTTTTGCGGGGACTTGATTACAAATAAGGTTATGGTAAGTAAATAGACAATAATACTGTTCATCTCTGGCTTTTCAAAATAAGCGGTTCGTTGAGTTGAAGTAGCATCGTATCACTAGAGATCTATGCTGTACATCGTTTTACGCACACGATAGAAGAAGTGACTTCCGGATAAGCACAATTTCGATTTACCGCTGCAAGCACATAATACATTGGGTGTAAGCATACCTCTCTACCATGGTGAAGTAAGCTGACGAGGATGGGGTTCGATCATTCTGTTCAGTCAGTGGATGCACATTTGAGGCGGTAAATATTTGTCTATCATCCTGGTGCCTTCAAAATATTGTATCTTATACGGTGAATTCCGTCGTGTACAGAGCAAAAGAAGCGTAAACTGGAAGGCCAGACAGAACTAGATAATTATTCTCACCTGTTTCGGTATCTTCAGCAGTGCCGGCGGATCCATCGACCTAGCTGAGGATCGAACCCGGGACTTCACAGATAGTACACAAGCATACTATTCACTTGACTAACGGGCAGATGATTAGATTGTTTTCATTTTTCCTATACGCGATGCCCACTTTTGCTTAATTATAAAGGTTTTGGTTTATCAATAATGCTTTAACGTCATGCATAGAAAAAAAGTCTCTCTGATATGCGTTTATTAACCGCAACTCGTACCGTCGGCCTCCGAAAGCCTCGGTATGGTCGGGGTCTGTGTCTCGGGTTGAGACTGGTGACCATTCCATTACACCTCGCGAAATGCTCCTATATGACCAAGCGTCTCAAATAGACTCTGCTGAGGAAGCCGTACTCACTGTTTTCCCGTGGCGGAGGTATTTTTTCACCAAAGTGAGAGAATGAAAAGCCAACGTCCGGGGCTATAACCGGGTTGGTGAATCATTGGCAGTTCCCCTACGGGAGTCGGCTAAAAACCCTAATTCCAAACCAACCAAGAGGAGACGTGTAAACTACAATCACCCACATCGTAGTTTTGGCAGTGGTCACAGGCTCGATTGGGCATCAAAGTCCATAAGCCATCTTGGATGTTTAACCCCGTCCGCAGGGCGTATAATCCAATGAACTAGATACCGGTCGCCATTGAACTGCGAACTCGGCTCCGTCCTGTTGTCTGCTGGTCTGGCTTTCTAGCGAAAGGCTTCGTTTGGAATCTCCGAGGTTATCTCCCTTCCTCAGTCAGGGCAACCGGAAAGTAACATACCCACACAACCTATGAGCACGTTATACAGATTTGTTGTGGCGCGTTTGCCAGTTCTGTGCAATTGGTTACATGTTGAAATAAGAACAAAATAACCATCGGCCTTGTGATAATATCAATAAATGACCACCACATTAGTGTTAATTAAGCTTATCGATCGTCTTCCCCGTTTTTGAGGAGGCTATTTTTAAAATGTGTGCAATGAGAAATTGTTCCCGGCCATGCCTGTGTACAACAGATACACCGCATATTTTTGAAGATAAAATGACTTCACTTTGAACTTCCAGTTCACGTAGCTGATCCCACCCATTTTCCATCTATGTCGGACTATACAAACGCATTGCTGATTTGCCACCGTTCCAACACATACCTGCTTCGCATCATGACAGATCGTGGATCTCACTAATGCTTGGCAAGGATTTTATCTCACCCATGGAAGAGCAATTGAGGCACTTGACAAGAACTCAGACGAACAGCTCGTTTTCGATTTTGGAGTGAGTTGTGAACCATGGTGTGCAAGTACAACCAGATGCTTTTATGTTCTTTTAAAACGACTGGTATTATACTTTGTGGATGTTTATATGTTGGGGGTCGATATTTATGGTTGAGACAAACAGGCGATTGAATTTTGCTTCATTGCTAACTCATGATGAGGTAGTTAAAATACGTCGATTCTACCACCGTGCACATATTTCAACGGTGCAGTTTAGGGACTGTTTTTGCTTTTGCTCACGGTGAACAGGTACGGTGTTCTATGGCTATGTGGGTTAAATAGAGTTATTACGAAATTATTCTCCACCTTCGTGGCTCCAGCTGCTGTTGTCTTTTACCCACAAGCCGAGTGTCAAATGTCATACGTACAACGCAAAAGAGACAACAGAAGCGAACATGCAATTTCAAACAGAGTAGTTGTGCGCTCGTGAACAACTCCGGATTAGTGGTCAAATGGTTCAGCAATTTGTTTACGTGTTTTGCTGCTCCATATGGAACCCACTATTGTGCTGTTACTCCGAAACGCCGCAAGGAATCGAAGCCTGTTTCAATATGCGCGCACGAACAGATTACTTACATGTACTGCGAGTAGTGCCTTGCTGCGGTATCATAGTGTTTGATTGCATGAAATGGTTATATGGACTAGGGAAACTTTGAAGTCACCGACTCTTTGAGACCTGCATTTGTAGAAGTGGTGTGACAGTTTATTTCTGTACGATCCTGCATTTCCCCGGCAACCACGTTAGCATAGTTAAATTAAGGGAGATTAGGATCGACCACGCTGCACTATTTTAGTCCGTTCCTTTTCAGTTCCCTAGGATTTTGGCATTGGTGTTTTTCCCCTCTTATCAGTACAATCCTTTCTGATCTTGCTTCACTTCGGCTTAGATACCATCACAAAATTTCACAAAAAATGTGAAGAATTAGGGCACCATAGCTAGATTTTCACCATTTTTACCTTTTGGATATCTCAATCAACATAGATCGTCGCTTTCCAAATGTAACACTGGTAAATGGGGAGTTCATTACCGATAGTCTAACTCCCGCAGTCTCGTAATTCAGTGTCTTTTGTGCTTGGTTAAGAGCAAATAGATTGTGTCCATTTTCAATGCAGTGATGCTGTTAGTAATCGTGCGTTCAACGTTCCCGACGTGTGTCTTTGCTTTCTTGTTTTTTTGGTCGGTTTCGAGATTGTGTGAATATGCACCATTGAGATTAAAAGCTGAGACAGGAAGATATCGATTTTTAATCCTCAGTCTGACTCTTTCCATAATTTTCCTACTTTTAAGAATCTGACAGATATTCAGGAAAAGAGTTATGTTTTTGAGAATATCCTGGATTACATTGATGCGCTCGAGGACATCAATATCGCAATGGCTACATGGGGCCAGATGGTCCGTAAACCGCAGGTGGAAACTCCGAAAAGTGACATGGGCCCGAAACCGACGATCCAGAGCAACGTGGTGAACGAATTCGGATCGAAAGTTAAAAAGCCGGTGGGACTGCTCGTGTTGCTTTCTAAGTCTGGTGCGATCACATTTTGGGGTGTGAGCACCCCACTTCTTGGGCTGTGAGTTGTTCTACTGTTCAGTATGTACATCTATCGGTGTCATTTTTTGTGCGTGTGGTCCGAATTCATGGTGCATAACTGTTGTTGTTCATTGGCGCTATATCGTTCTGGCTCCTCGGCATAAAGGATGTTATACCGCCTGTTATGCTTCCAAAAGACCAGTGCTGGCACCGACGAGAGTTGTTAATTACGAACCACAGTTGGAATATGGATAATTTGGCGTACATATAACAAGATGTCTCATTTTGAACATGTCATCACAGGATAATGAAATGGAACCATCCGTAGTTATAATTTTGAATACAGTAATTCGCTTTCAGAGGTCTTGTTCATTTTCAACCATTAAAAGAAATCGCCAACCGCATCCTTTTGCGCACTACTCACAAATGTGAGTAGTACCCTACAACAAACCCAATCTGTACGGTGTCATAAAAGCTAACTGTCACAACCATCTGTCTGTTATTTACACAAACTTACCATTCTCAATAGATCGCATGTTGCTGTTCCTGCCCTCTAAGTTGTGCTTCTTGCACTGAAAGAGTGAGTAGCAATTCTGCATTAATAAACATGAATGCGATGTTTTATCCTTGTTAGATGTTATTGGTAATGCATGTCTGTTCTAATTCGAACCTAAATGGAAACTAAGGCTTTACATCAAATAGTTCCATAATGTCGGATGGGGTGCAGTACCTCCACCGATAATGAATGCCGAATTGACGCGACGCAGCTCGAATTTCACGATGGTGGATGTTACAAACGACATTGACTTGCGTCGAATGAATCCGTAAGCGCGTAACCAAAAAAAGCAACACGGTCGCATCATCTGTAGCTCATTCTCTGCGGCCAAGTTGAGTGGCATTCACGTCGGCCAGTGCATCATTTCACTGTCTCAGTGCGCGCATCCGATTAGGCGTACGTGCCAGTCGGCACCGTTTATTGCGATGGTTTTGCCAAGAGTTGACTGCACCATTTATTTATACCGTCCGATCCATTCTTCGCCAAATCGCAACAAAGTCTGATGTTCACCAGATAGCGAAGAAAACATGTAAAACCGGAAGCTTCAGTAACGGATCCGGCGTGATTTGCTTTTGTGCCCGGAAAATGTACTGTGCCAGAACACGAAGACAACACAACGTGCGTTTCTCAGTGATGTCTCAAGGCTTCCACGCAGTTTTCACAGATTCGGGTTTTTCCAAAAGAAAGAACCTAGTCACCAACATTGCAAACCTTTATTCAAATATTTTACGGGATTGGTGGTCGCGAGGTTATCTTCAAATAAGTTACCCATCTACCTACACCATAGGGGTCATGTATTTCTTTCCGTGGATAGGTGGTCAAGTGCCCCTGAGACGTGTATTCAAATTCTACCCCCCACCGCCCAACTTTCCCTCATTTCTACGTATAGCGGTTATTTGACTGACCGCCTCCGCACTTCTGTAAACAGTTTGTATTAATACATGTGTATAGATAATTTTATAATCTGATAAAATGAATGGGCTTGACGAGTCCACAAAGTGCAGGCGCGGGATTTCGTTGTTGTAGCTGCAACGTGGTCAACAGAATGTCCTCGAACCCACTCATTCACCTTTCTTTCATTTAACAGATCTTCTTTATTTCATCTTCGAGTGGACTACACTTATGCCGTTTCTCGTCATCCTGGTGGGATCCCGACTTCCAGACGAGCGACCTTCATAAAAATGTGCGATTTGGA